TTGAGTGATTTGCCATTCAGCGGTGAATGGCCAATTTAGTTGATTCGATGTGTGGCGATTGCATGTGCATTATGTATTTTCGTTTCTGACGAGAGCGCGCAAGAATCACCACAAGGAAATTGGTTGCCTGTGGTCTTCTCTGATTTGGGGAATTTAGAAGATCGAGTGAAGGATGGCTACAACACTGCGGCGGACGAGATGGTCCACCAATTCCGCACGCTGTCCAATTTCGGCACGCGATTATTCCGGAATTGCGCAAGCCTTCGATTTCCGTGCAACCTTTCAGGCACGGGTTCAGTGCCCTTTAAAAATGGCACGTGGACTTGCGAAACTGCTCCCGAATTCGCTGAAACACAAATGGAAATTCAATCCTCAATCTTGCCGACAACTTTCCAGACGTAGTTGCGAGTGTACATTTTCTTCAAATACGCATTGTTAACGTACACAAGACAGCGGAATAAGAGTGCTGTTGAGACAGCGATAAATCAATGGCTGTGTTTCAAAATGTAGCACTACGAATTTTGCTTGTTTTGCTTTTTTCTACAGGCACAACTGCTTATTGCAAGTAAATGGCCCAGAGATCCTGGCGGCATTGGTTGCCTTCCTCTTTGCACTGCTGGTTTACTTTATTATGCCGTGTGTGATCTCAGGCTCGAAAGCTCTGAGAGGCCGGCATGCATGCGGCAAAACGTTCTGCCATATTTCGCAGATCAGTGGAGCAAATGTACACCCGCGACTGGGCTTAATGCCTCTCCGTGAGAGCTGTTGGCCCCATCCACCCAGCCTTGGATGAGCCGAACGTGCATCTAATTCCAGTACTTATGTCTGTGATGCGCTAGATTTGGGGTGGGGCTATATCGCAGGCAGGCACGGCCACGGGCTCGGAGACACAGTCGAGGGAACAGAGTTGCAGATAGGTTGCGGGCAGGCATTTCCCTTTATAGTCATACAACCATCTGCCAATGATGGACCAGCCATTTCCATATCGTATGTATCAACAACAACGATGACTACATTCAATGTACGAATGAATAGAGTTTATGCCTAAATAATGTTCTAGCTTGTATCTAAGAGCAATTGTGACAAGTTGGCGTGTTCACGCACAGGACGACAGGACCTATCACGTCGTGGGCGTTGAGCCTTTGGTGGACAACGAGGAGTTTGTGCACCATTTCGTGTTGAGGGGGTGCAGCGAGGGGACAGACGCCCCCGGGGAGCCCATACCGGACGTGGAATCCATGATAGTACAATGCTTGGAGTTCCTCTACGTTTGGGCCCCAGGAACCGGTGAGTCATTGGGCGGTTGTGTGCGCAGCTCGCTGGGAATGATTTGCAAGTATTTCGCTGAACGGGTTGCTTATTCCAGAGCACTCCGTCGCATTTAGGAGTCCAGAGATGTTTAGGAAAGCAAATGCGTGTTGCCTGAGCCATGGCAGCGTTGGTATAATATACGACGTGGCTACGGCATTCGCTGCTGAGCCAATAGCTTGGTGGTAGAATTGACCTAAAACGGCGTTTGCATTTGTACACAGAACATCCACTGCCTGCAAACTTGTATGTCAATACGCGCAGCAGGACGTTGCCCCAGTATTGTAGATACTCCAAGTGATTACCCAGTGGCTGAACGAAAAGTGTTGGTGCGACTCTATGTACCAAGTAAACGCATTGAGGCTTTATCGATACCCTTGCAATATGCACATTGACGCACTAATTCATCCATTAATGTCAAGGGCATCCCAATTGTCTAGATGCACTTACGTGCGAGACATCGTGTACCCGATCTCCGTTACCTTACCAACACCTCCTTCTTACTTCCTCTGTCCCAAAATAAATGTTCTTTGTGAATTCGGTGCATCATTTTTCTATCACAAATTTTTCCTTTTTCGGTGGAGTTTTGTCCAAGACTGTGCCCACTTTGGTAGTATACAGTTCAAAATCTCTTGTCAACCCGTCAAGCATTCAGAATTTGGCAGTATTTTGCAGTAAGTGTCCTCCGGCCAGAAAACACCCGTTTTTCCACAGCCCCGCGAAAATGGCCGTTTTCGCCGTTTTGAGGAGCGTGCAAAACTATCCACACCGTTTGGGAGGAAGCTCGAAGAGGTCCTTGCAAACAAGCAAAGCGGTAAAAAACGTGTCTTGGTGGGCTTGACCGTGGAAGTCGCCGTGGCTTCGCTGCTTTAATTCGAGATCGATTGGACGATGGGGGGATGCATTTCTGACCCAAAATTTGGTGCCGCGGCCTTTGAATCTCCATCGGTGCTATGAGGGACACCGTGCAATGCTTCCCAAGCCCTTCAAGAGTGCAAAAAAATCTGATCACCATCACCATAATCAATGGCGTGCGATTAGAGGAAAGTTTTCCAAGGCAGGTTGAAGAAGTTGACCTTTGCATCGGCAGTTGAAAGGGTGGAACGCGAGGCGAACGGCCAGAGAGACAAGCTTGTGTCTCTCTCACAAGTAGAGACTAGTTAGATTGCGAAGGTTTGCAGACCGCCCGTACGAGCTAGCCGCTAATGGTGATTTCTGGAGTGGGGGCCAAACCCCACGCAAAAACCTCGATTCAAGGATCAATCGAGGCGCAATGTCAGAGTAAAGTAATAACACAACCTTGGAGTGGTAGCCCGTACACAGCCCAAGCTTGGGGTTCTCGAGTGCTGTCCTGTTGCATGTGCAGCAAGTCTGAGCATCTGAGGTAGGGGATGGCGGTGATTTCTGCCATCTTTGACGCAATGACAAAGGGGTTCTTTGATGGGGATTCATACACGGTTGAGCTTGTTTGCAAGCGCTATGCCACGCGAGGGACACTGCCCTTAACTGTGACGGCAGCAACGACTTTGCTCCGGCACGCAAGATCAGGGAATTGAAAAGATTGGGTCTCAAAACCCTTAACTACCATTTATTGCGAAAAAGTACTCATCCCCATTACTTCTGGGGCCCCCTCGAAATTGTCTAAGATTTGGCCCAAAATTGAGCATTCTGATTCGGCGTCGACTGGATGTCCGCGTGATTATGTGTCGCTCCCGTCCCAGGCTTTGTACTATTGAGGACTTCCTTATAACGAGTTTTGTCTTTCAAATAGAGGTTATTTAATTTGGTACAGAAAAGTTAGTGGCTTGACAATTACCCAACCTTCAATGCAACTGCTTTCACATGGTCTCAATCATTTAAATGGCCACAATCAACAATGGCGAATGGCTTGAATCTTGGATGCAAGTTTTCAGTATGGATGAACGTTTTCAATCATGGATAAATTGTTTCGGTCGTGGATGATTGTTTTCAATCATGGATAAATTGTTTCAGTCATGGATGGATGTTTTCAATCATGGATAAGTGGTTTTGATGCCAGGCAACTTCTCTTCTCCCAAGAACGGTGGCATTCCTGTCGGAAAGAGCACCCGCCGTCTCGGCGGCGAGCTTGAGATCCATTATGACAACCCCTTGGGCAAGAAGGGACAGAGGGACAGTAGTGGAGTGCGCATACACCTTACACCGGATCTTCGCAAGGACGAGGTAATCGGGAGCCGATGCTCACTACTAATAATGCACATGCACAATATCGTGCACGAATGAACGGTGATTGCACATTGCCACAAGGCAATGCGAAGATGTTTATTGCGGTTTTGCCATTTTTGCTATTTGGTGTGCTCAAAAGTGAGGTCATTCCGAACAGCGTCAGTGGTTGTTAATTCACGGTAGCGATCGCAGAAATATGAACAACTGAAATAGGCAGTGAAATGAGCACAGCATAGCACAACATCAGTGAAACTTCATCTCAAATGGCGTTCGGTCTTCGAACCGAGCTTTAAGTATTCTGTTCCACAGTGCAATCATTCTTGCAAGGATCGCATTCTTAAAAGAGACGACACGATCTGCGGCCTTCAGGTGGGCATCCTATGGAGCGGCACCATCGTCAACGTGGGTCTGCTTCCTCCCAAGATGGATACCATTTACTCATCCTCAATCTGCCAGCTTTCCATCAACGAGACGGCCGCCCCCGGCGGCGTGCAGGTCTTCGGCTACATGCCCCACATTCACCTCACGGGGCGGCGAATTTGGACCGACCGCCTGGTCGTCAAGTCGCGGGGCCGTCCTTCGAACGGCAGCTTCGTGACAGACCTCAGCGAGCTGGAGAAGGTGCGCGCCACTTTCCGACATTTGGGCAAAACTCAGTTTCGGGGAATGTCATGGGGTTCAATACTTTGCGGCATTTTCTTGTGGGGCCTCTCCCGAAGGGTATTGCGAGCATCTTGAGTAAAGGCTTTGAAGCGAAAACGCGAGCAGACGAAAATTCTTTGTAAGTGTTGTGAGGCAGGCAAGATTTGGTCCATTTCACACGCTTTCTATTATCAATAGACGCCTTTGGTCGTTTTACCATGATTTAAACAGGCAAATGGGGTAAGGAAAATAGGCAAATTTCTACCAATGCAGGCCTTCGATTGTCGCTTGCAATTCGCCTTAATCCATATTTTGCTTCTTTTGGTTTAATTGCCCCAATTGGATTTCTCGCAGTTACGCTCATTTGATCTTGCATTAGAATCATCGCCTGATCGTGGCATAGCATCGCGCATCGACCTTGAAGTCAGCTGAAGTCAACCGGTCGCGACGCAGGTTGACGAACTGTCGCGGGACGACGCTTATGACTTCAATTTGCAGCGCTTCAGTCGCATGGCCCCCACGCCCCTGCGCGACGGTGACTTCTTGGCCACCACCTGCATTTTCAACACAATGGACAGGGTGGAGATCACCAGCGGCGGCCTTGGCTCGTATGACGAGATGTGCAGCGCCATCTACTACTGTAAGCCTCTGGCGCACATGCCGCATTCCACACAACGTTTTGTGTTCGCATTTACATTAGCAAATCACAAACTGTGGAGCGAGAGCAATTGGCACTTTTGGTTACAGCGACAACAACTTTGTTTGATCTGCGTTGATTTTCTGCGCGTCGTGTTCCCACAGAGCAATTTGGCGAAACAGAACCGATTGGCGAAACAAAATTTAGCTGCTAGTTTAATGGTAATGACCTCGTCGTGAATGGTGCCATTAGGAAATGGAATCATCATGGCTAGATTCATTGAATGGAAACAAATCTGTAACCGAGTTTATGGTCCGTTCTTCTCCGTCGATGCAACCCACATAGGGGGAATGTTTCATGATGCGTCTTAAAAATGAATGCAATTTCGACAATAGAGAAAAGGACTAACCTCCGGTGGCCCGACCCCTGGCGACGTCGCCGAAAGAGATTGGGAGGATGACTGGCCGTCCGCAGCGTCAGCGGGTTGTCGTAAAGGGGGATGGGGGGTTTCGCCGGGGCCGTCGGCAGCGTTGGCACGGCTCTAATTTCTCCCACCGACGCCACGGGCAACGGGATATGGCAACGTCGCCCTCCCCCGGCGACGGGGATTAACGGCGACGTCGCCCGAGGTTGGGACTCTAGAGGATGACAATATGTTGAAATTCTGTCTTTTAAATGATGTGATATGCATGCTACAGCTCTTTGTACACGCTACATGCCATGCTTTTCTCTTACTGCTAGTAGTAGCCCAATTTGAGCTTGCTTGCTGTGTGCCTGGTCTCAACAAACTGTTTCCTGGTTTTTGATGCTTTTCCTGCACCTAGTCCGCCAGCGCGTTCACAAACACGGTAATTGGACTATCACCCAATTTCCACTTGAGCGCTCAAGTTGTTTAGAAATCACTACTTTTCCCTTCAAACGTGCTATTGAGATCTACATGCGCTTCTGCACATTCAATTTATTACAAGGTAAGTATATTGCACAAAACACAGTATCTCGACAAAGTGCTTAGTTTGCATTTATAATGCATCAATCATAATTAGTACTTTAAATGTAATTAATAGCACTAATTATCTGCATTTATGGAAAATGCAGACAAGAATACTGATGATCGTGCAAGTACTGATGCTTGCTTCCAACTGTGCTTAGCAACAATCTTTGCATTCAGGAAAATGGCTCAGATGTTTGCTCTATATGCATGCGTACATTTATCACATTTGCACCTATTGCAGTTGCTTTTGTCATTTGCATCTGCTTTCACCGTCGAATCCATGGATCCATATTGTACGCACACACCTCAGGTTTGACTAAGCGTTGACTCCCCCACGCCGCAGACTACCCCGCCCAGGCACTTGAGGACATGCTCTTCTGCTCGGGGCCCCGATATTTCGGCACCTCGCTGCCCCGAGACGTGACGTCATTCATGGAAATCGCCGACGCCGATGACGTCGGCACGGCGGTGCCCAAGTGGCGCCAGGCCTACCTGTCTGGCGAGCTGCAGTGCGACAGCACCGGCCTCAATTCCGTCGACATCATATACAAAAGTCTCTCGCCTGAATTTTGGGACGAAATTGAAAAAACGTGCGGGAAGGCGTCGGCGACCGCTCTGAATTTTGGAGGCGACGCGCAGGCTGCCCTTTGGGAGTGCTCGAAAGGTGGGAAGGATGACGTGGTGCACAAGCGCCTTTGTTGTAATCACGAAGCTGCTGCTTTATCAAAAATCTCAAATTCCCGCTCCTTCTCAGCACTGTGCAATTTGTAGCGCACGATGGCATGGGTAAATATAATTCCAAATATGATAAGCATTGTAACGTAGTGCGCATGTAATGTGGAGCAATTGTGCGCATTTGGAAATATACTTAAAAAAAATACAACCGGCAAGTACATAAAATAACCAAATGAGTAATTTTCCCATTTTATTACTTGATTTACTTGCTGCCTATCGTGTTTTCAATGCCGGCGAGTCCGTACAAGCAACGTTTGCTGATGAATTGGTGGCTACCGTGACAGAACCGGCGCAGGTGCGATCCAGTCAGCTTTCCGCCGCCTGGGTCCGCTTTCTGCTGCGACATTCCTCTGCTGCATTCGACGTTGGTTATTCGCATCCTGCTGTGTTTTCGTCACAAGCAATTGCGCTTTGTAATGCTTATGAGCGCGTTATGAGCGTCCATATCTCTTACGAAAGCTTCTTGATTGACAAGACACAAATGTTGTGACCCATGTTACACATGTGACGAAGGACATATTATTAAACATGTTACATGTTATGACGTCGGGCCAGTGACAAAAATTTGATGAGCAAGCGATATAATTTAGATTACTGTGTCGCACTGCATTTTGCTGAAAGAACTTGTGACCCAGATTGCGCGAGGCTGCTGTACAACCACTTGGGGTGCGCACTGCTTGAAGACGCGGTGCAAGACGACGGGACTGCCTTCAGCCTGTATGCGTCCCCTCTGGAAGGCCTGGTGGAGGAGAAATGCCACGAGGTGAGGAAGTTGCGCTGGCCGAATGTCGTCCAGAATTCAATGGCCGAAAATTGGCCTTTGCGCACAATGTTGGGACGAAATTCAAATGAATGGATTTAAATCGAGTGACTTAACATTTTCCATTCAAAGCGCATATGATAAGACTACATAATTGTGAATTTTTGACACCAAATCGTGCTGATTAAAATAGATCAATTCGCCTATGGATGAAATTGCTGAAATTCGGGCATTAGCCAACGTGAGTATAACCTGCGCGCGAGAACTTCTGGATTTGAGGACATTTGCCAGTATCGATTACTCACACTCGAGGTATGTTGTTCTGCAGAAATTCATGGAGATCCACCAGGAGGATAAGGTTTCACCTGTGGATGCATCTCAGGGTTGAAACTTGGGAGCCAGCCGAAAAGAGAAACAGATTGGACGGCCGTCGACTCGAGATGCGTGGCTCCTGTTTATCGCGATTTGATAGGGGAAGGGGAGCACAAGGGTGGGGGTGATCACGTGCAGTCCAGGAGAGCCGCGGTGCACACTGGCTGTCATGTGTATCGAGATCATGTGTCAGGGAATGGTATGTATCACAGCACGCGCAATGAATGCGGTGCGTTTTGCGGCAGGGCATGATGCTCGTTCATTTCGAGCGTGGCATCTGTTACTGCGATTTGATAGGGGCAGGGGGGGACAATGGGTGGGGGCGATTACGTGCAGTCGAAGAGGGCCAGGGTGCATAATGGCTGTCATTTATCATGTGTATCGACATCATGTGTCAGGGAATGGTATGTATCACAGAACGCGCAATGAATGCGGTGCGTTTTGCGGCAGGGCATGATGCTCGTTCACTTCGAGCGTGGCATCTGTTACTGCGATTTGATAAGGACAGGGGAGTCCAATGAGTGGGGGCGATCACGTGCTGTCCAAGCGGGTCACTGTTCACAATGGCTTTCATTTATCACGTGTATGGAAAATCATGTACCAGGGAATCGAATGTACCATAGCACGCGCAGTGAATGCGGTGCGTTCTGTGGCAGGGCATGATGCTTGTTCATTTCGAGCGTGGCATCTGTTACTGCGATTTGATAGGGGCAGGGGGGAACAATGGGTGGGGGCGATTACGTGCAGTCGAAGAGGGCCAGGGTGCATAATGGCTGTCATTTATCATGTGGATCGATATCATGTATCGGGGATTCGAATGTATCATAGCACGCGCAATGGACGCATGGATGGGCAATTGGCGCTTGAAAGTCGGGTGCCATATAGTGCTCCGCAGCAGTTGACGTCAAAATAACATGCGGTGTTCGGTTGCTGTGACAATGTTTCGCAGAACACATGGTCGCTTTGCGTAACCAGGCAAAACTCCTACCACACACCTTGGCGGTGCGGGGCGCATTATACTCCAGAAGATCCTGGGATAATCACTGACGTTCGAAGAATGTATCCCTTGTGTTTTTCTTGCTGCGCAGCCAGTGCTTGCTGTACTATTATTCCCCCACCCCCACCCCCACCCACCACCCACCACCCACACACCCCACCCCGCTCAATCCCCTCCCCACGGCGTCAGCAGAAGCTGGGCCTTTCTCTATTTCAAAGCCGTTTTTGGTCGCCCAAGTGCTGCGTGCAGGCTGCCAGGCTGCACTAGTGAGAATTGCGACAAAAGCAAGTACACGCATAAAACCACATGATACGACAACAATTGGCGATGGCAATTGTTATTTTGCAGTTGATATCACCGTTTGTTCCAGTTTTGGCACAGTGCGCAGTACTGATTTAAAATTATCATCAATTTGACAAGAGCGAGGAATGTGATTGGAACGAGTGAAGTGGTCATTGGCTTGGTCAGCGCAGGTGAGACACACGGGCCGCCACCTTGCATGGAAGAAAAAATGCTATTGATTAACACAAATATGCTACTTTTGTTAGCTATAAACATAAACTAATAGACCATTGATCACTAAATGTTTCGCTGTTTATTGCTCCCAAACAGCGGCGACAAAAGGCCGCAGATCCTCAGCTATGCACTGGACAAGCGTTTCTCGCCCACTCGCCAACGTTCACAACGAGGAAACATCTACCTTGGCTTGACTCGAAGTAATTTGACGTTATTTTGCATTCGTCACGAAGACAATGTGCTCCCGCAGGGCCAACACATTCTCCGCAGCCTGACGCGACCTACCCACGCCTTCGGTACGGGGCACTGCTCGCAGTTCAATCAACAAAAAGTAAGACAAAGGAAAACATTTGTCGGGAAGGGCAAGCAACCACCGCGGGGGCATTTCCAGCAATTAGGGAACATTCCGGCCGCGGCCGCCACTTAGCGGGCCTGAACCAGCCGATCCTCCCACCTCCCCTCGAAAGCCACTCAGCAAGGGGCGTCCCGTCGGCGGCAGACGTCGCTCCCGCTGGCCCAAGTCGACCCTCCCGCGACCCACGGGACAGGCTTCCCGCCCATACCTGCGCACACCCGGTCTTCGATGTCCGATCGCCGGGGCGGTGGCCGCCAAGGGCCGCCGCGCCGCGGGGGGCCCACCTGGAACCCCGGGTCAAGATCGCGCCCCGCCGGCAGGATGCGTTGCCGGACTGCAAGAGTCAACGCCGGTCAACGGTCAATCGGCCGGGCGGCGCGCATGCATGCGTGCACACGGCACCTCGAGCCCGTGGGGCCCGCACGGGTGGGCGGGCTCGGCTGGGTCTCCGTCGTGGGTGCGCGGCGGGGTCGGCCGCGCTGGAAATCATGGCGGAAGGCCTGAGGAGCTTGCGGGCGGGGGCGTTGCCCAGTGAAAGCGAGGTCAACGCCGGTAGCGCCATTTCATGCATCGAGAGCGCCGCAAACGGCACAGGTGAGGGAGGGATGAGGGGGATGGGGGGCTGAATCGACAGAACCCGACACGGTTTGGCGAAAAGGGATATTATTGATGACGGGGATGGATGGAGGGGAGAGGCTGCAGGCTTCTCGAAAGCGGCAGGCCGCGGGCGGCGTGCGCGTGGACGAGGGCCTCCCGCTGCCTCGGAGGCCAGCGGCTGCCTCGGATTGATAGCGATGGCAGGAGGGTGATCAGATTGCCTATCGCCCAGCGGGCGGAGATTGGTGGCCGGCAGAAGGGCTCTCCATCTGACGTCGGGCGCCAATTGCGGGGGTGGGCATTTGAATTACGGAGACAGCTCAGCGCGGTTGATGGAATCACCATATGGCCACATCGGACGGGCTGGGGGAGCGCGAAAAGAACAAGGGATACTAGTAAACTACTGCTGGCGGGGGGGATTGTCGTCGATGCGGGCCCTGGGGCCCGTCTCGCGTGATGCTTTGAGGGGCCGTACCTCGGGCCGAGGCGGGGTGTTGTTATTCGGTGTCTGCGCCTCGGAGGGCAAGCTTTAGTCCGCTCTGGAAGGCGCCCGACAGGCGCCCTGCCGTCGTTGTCGCGCGGCTGGTCGCGCGAACTCGTGCGAGGCGCCGCCCGGTGCGATGAAGGAACAAGATTTGTGCGACGTGGCATTGCATGGCGTGCGGTGCTTCGCAATCGCTTGTGGTTTTGGACCGGTTTGGATGGGAGTTCGAGGCGCGACGCGAGTCCCTCGAGGGGTTCGACTTGCAGAATTGCCGGCGATGCGCGTCCAAGTCGTCGGACAGCGCTTTGATGGTCTTCTTTGGCAGCGGACGCGCAAGCGCGTCGCCGTCTGATTGCGGCTGTGTGCCCGGCATGTGTGGGTGGGTGGTCAGCGGAGGCGAGGGGCTAGAGTCCACTGCCGGGCTCTCTGACCGGTTCCAATCTTTGTGATACTGCAGAGCGGACTGCGCGGGATCGTCTGCTTGAAGCGGGCGGCCGGAACGCCTCCGCCCTTTGGATTTCGTTGTCTTCGGAAACTAGGTGAGTCCCATCTCGAGTTTGGGCACGAGCGCCACGAGGCGCTGTGCGGCTTCGCGCGTCAGCGCGTCGCGCACGTAGCGCGGCTCTGTGCGTTGAAAACGCCCCCATCGGCGTTGACCGCCGGTGGCGCGTGCACATGCATGGCCCGACGATGGTGGCGCTACGTTCGAATCGAAAACGCGTTCTGCTCTTTCGCGAGGCCCTCGAGTTGCCCCGCCGTCCGAATTCGCGGCTCTCCGCTTCTGGCCGTGCTCCTTGCGTTGGCTTTTCATTGACTTTGCCGTTGAATTTGTCGTTAACATCTCCCCGGCCCTCGGCCTCGCCTAGGGTTCGCTCCCTGTGGTGCCGGCCCTCGAAGCAGCGTCAGAGCGGCATCAGCGACGCCCGCACTGCACGACGTAATGCCAGTAATCCCGATCAGGTCCGGTCGCAGTCCCCTCCCGTGCTCGAGCCAAAGGTTTAATGGCGTATCGGTGAATTTGAGCCGAGCTGTCACATCGCATGTCACGTCGGACACCCTCTTGCGTGGATGAGCACATGT